CCTTATCCCTGTGTGCCTTAGCCTCCACGTACTATTTTAATTTTAATTTTTACTTTTTTTAATATTATTATATTTTTTATCTACCGATTTGGACTCAATCGTCAATCCAACCATTTGACATGGATGTGTGGGCGAACTATCCACCCCACATATCTAAGTTTTGAAACACTGGTTCTGTCAATTTATTCTTACTTTTATTTTGTGATTTAAAAACATATTAAATTAAGGACCTGATTTCTATGTGGCCAAGCTAGAAATACGGGCCTCTTAATAAATCTATTTTTGAGTTGGATTTTAAGATAATTTTTAAGGACATATAATTTCTAACATGGAGATCATGAATATGAAAAAATAAATAAGTTTTTTTGAGTGAGTAAGATAAATAATTTTAAAAAATAAAAAATAATAATTATAGTAAGAAAACATTTGGATAGTTAGTTTGCATTATTTTTATATGGGAATGCCTGGTTGCATCGGCTTTACACTTTCTGGACCGCATATGTAGAAATGCGGTACAGCCCACAGGAAACAATTATCCTTAAATCAAAGCAATACGACTTGTATTCCTATAACTATCAAGCTTTCTTTCAACGAAGGGCTTCTCTGCTTCCTTCAACGAAGGATTTGCAGAGCTGAGTTTCTTATTTCCTGTTAAAACCCTAAGGGCTTCTCTGCTTCCTTCAACGAAGGATTTGCAGAGGTGAGTTTCTTATTTCATGTTAAAGCCCTAATCTTCTTTGATGAGTTATTTCTTTATTGTTTGCCCTAGTTCCTTTGATGGTTTATTCTCTTAATCTTTCTTTTATTTTTTTATGTTTTGTAATTTTGATACCTGTACTACTGTTTTTCCGGTTCTTTTATTGAAACCATTTTTCTTTTATTGTTTGCCCTAGTTCCTTTGATGGTTTATTCTCTTAATCTTTCTTTTATTTTTTCAATTTTGATAGCTGCAGTACTGTTTTTCCGGTTCTTTTATTGAAACCATTTTTCTTTCTTTCTTTCTTCTATTTGTTTTCTGGTTCAAGAAACAGTCCTCTTTACCAAAAGTTGGGAGAACCATTGTTAGGGTAAATTCGTTCTGCGAATTGAAGTTTGTTCAGCTTATAATTTGAGATTAACAATAAAAATAACCATCTTATCTTAATTGAGAGCTAATATGGAAACCCACCGAATGGATATGGAATCGTTTTTGTTACTTTAATGAGAATCAATAATAAGAAAAGTATATGGAATTGGCAATTAACAAAGAAGTCATATAATATGAGATCCAAGCTTCAATGTATTTTGTGACGTGGTTGGCGTACTGGACTATTAAAACAGAGGTATTAAAAGCTGGACCTCTTTCAGATTTAGGGCAACGTTTACATAGCTAAAATATTCAGGGTACATTCGGTTCGTGCGCAAATATTTATACAGGTGATTCGTGCCTGTCGAAAATATTTAGTCTAAATTGTTTGGGAAACTGCTTGGGTTTGGTGATTCGTCCTAAAATATTTAGCCCTATGAAGATCCTGGTTTGGCGATTCGTGCTTAAATATTTAAACAGCTGACATATTTAAATATTTAGCCCCATGAAATCCAAATAAAATTGGAGTATTTATTTTTTTATTTTTAATTGGGGATAGGTAGATATAGCTAAAAATATTTAGCCCTATGAGATCCAAATAAAATTAGAGTTTATTTATTTTATTTTTTTAAAATTAAGGATAGGAAAAGATAAATTAAGAGGACCCAATTTTTATTTTTTTAAAATTAAGCATAGGAAGAGATAAATTAAGAGGGCCTGATATCTTGGATTTTATTTATTTAGGGGTAATTGGAGTTTATTTATTTAGGGATAGGAAGAGATGAATTAAGAGGGCTTGGGTGCATAATTTGTTTTAGAAGGTCTATCTTTTTAGTTTAGGGAATAATATATAGATAAGGTAAAGATATTTTGGTTTAAGAAATAATAAGTGGTAGTTATCTTTTACTACTAGAAAGGTTAATGTAGAAGTTAGAAGAAGGTTTATCTTTTTAGTTTAAGAAATAACATATAGATAAGGTAAAGATCTTTTGGTTTAGAAAATCATAAGTGGTAGTTAGAAAAAATAGGGATGACACATGAGAGAGAGAAAATAAAATAAGAAAGAGAGATAAAATAGGGGAAAATACACCCTTTATTTAAAGGAATATGGCTTAAAAAAGTTTATTTAAAGGAAAATGACCTAAAAAAGTAGTGAATGAAAATCGAGTAAAATTGATCTTATGAGAAGATTGAGAATCGAGTAAAATTGATCTTGTCATCAAATTGAAAATATGAGTAAAGTTGATATTTTTATTCTTAGACCTTATTATAAGATCGAGAATTGAGTAAAGTTGAAAGGTGGAAGATCTCTCGGGGTGGAAGTTGATATTGTGACAAGATCGAGAATTGACTAAAATTGAGGGGTAGAAGACCGTGAGAATACCATCTATCGGGATGGAAGACCGTGAGAATACCAAGTTGAGGGGTGGAAGATCTCTTGGGGTGTAATTTGATCTTGTGACAAGATCGGGTGGTCTACGGTGAGAATACCGTCTCTAATATCGTTTTTTAGTCGACCATGAGAATACCATCTTTCGTTGAGAGAGGGTATAATTTTTTACCATTCGTCTTATTTTTTATTATAATTATTTTTTCTCCCTATATCAAGATCTCTGGACTGGCCAAGTATCCAAGTGCAATTTGGGTATATTATTAAAAAAATAGAAAAATTCATAAAAATAAGTAAACTTGTAGGATTGATGTATAAAAACTATACATGCAATTTAGATGTGTTTTACATTGATATGAGAGTTTTTATTCATAGATTTCCTTTTTTGGGGGGATTTTTCCTGAAATTTCTCCAACTGTATCTCAATTTTTCCTAAATCCATGTGTCTTGTATTTCTTTGTGTTCCTTGTGTTGATTTTTAGTTTTGTTCACTTTTTAAAGTTTTATTTTAATATTTATTATTTTTTGTAGTTATTTATGGAACATTTGCCTTCTAAATGTTATTTGGCCTCGGCCAGTGCGATATTGGCTTAAGACCCATATCTCATTTGAAGGGGCAGTTGTTATCGCGACTAGGTTGAAAACTAACAAATGTAGGAAAATTTTTAAGTCAAAATTTTGAAATTGAGGATTATGAGTAGTGTTTTTAAATGCACTATGCCACAAAATAATGTCAAGGAAGTGTCGTTATTCACATGTATCATATTATAGGGTTATAATCCAAGTTAAAGACCTTGATACCAATTATATATGTTAGGAATTTCAAGTTTGTTGTAGCCAAAATAATCTTTTCTAGTGAATTTTTGAGGTGCGCCTTAATTTGATTGCCCTATTTTTGAGGTGCACCTTAATTTGATTGCCCTGTTTGATTGCCCTATTTTTGAGGTGCACCTCAATTTGATTGCCCTGTTTTGTTTGTGTTCTCTGTAGTCCTAGTAATGAGTCTAGGGTTTCTACTTAGAAAGACCAAAGATTTTTTGTTCTTCTTATGTCATTGAAAGGCAAACTATTCAGCGTCAAAAGAAGGATGGCTACTACTCGAGATTCGGAAACGAAAAATTATCGGCTTTGATTAGATATTTTGAGGGGTCGAGAATAACTTAGAATTCATGTAGTGGAATTGTGCTTTTCTTCTAATCTAGCGGAATTATCATTTTTTGTGTTTAAGTTGGATAGCTTTTTCATAGTAGAATTATTGAGAAATAAAGTTTCGTAGCATGCAGAGGAATATAGATTCCTAATTCTTTTGAATTTCTTTAATTTCATATTTCAAATAAAAGTGAGGGACATGGTCCTTTCTTAACTTTTGAACTCATACCTAGATATTTTTATTCTTTTAGGAAGATTGCCATCTTAAAATTGCTATGATATAATTCATTTTCACATATAAATTACCATCAAGTAATACTTCCTTAC